TTTTGCTCTTTGTTTAATATCCTGTGACTGTGATACAAAGTATTGTGTGCGCCCACACACACAAACAAACACACACACACACATGCATATCCATGTGTACACACATACACACACAGGCGTATGTGCACACACACACACAGAAGCACATATATAAATATTATTATATATGTGCACACATACACATATATATAAATATATGTGTATCTACACACACATACATGTGTGTGCACATATATGTGCACACACATATATAAATGTCTACACATACACACATTTATAAATAAAAACACACTTATGTGTGTGTACGTGCGCACACAAACACATACGTGTCAGTGTGTATACATACACTTATAATGAATATATTTTTATGTACACACACAAATATATATATATATATTATATATATATATATATATTATGTGTGTGTGTGTGTGTGTGTGTGTGTGTGTGTGTGTGTGTGTGTGTGTGTGTGTGTGTGTGCGTGTGCACATATACACACGCAGACAAGCGCACGCACACACACACATGTACATGTGTTTCGATCGATACTTTTGTACTGGCATCGATATCGCCTTAGCTACGATATCATTTTATCGTTATTGCAAGAGCTTTTTTCTCTATATATATCGAAAAATATCTTTCTTTGTCTCTGTCTGTTTACCTGTATTTTTATTAATTTATTCCTCTGATTTACCCTCTCTCTCTCTCTCTCACACACACACAATATATTATATATATATATATTATATATATATTATATATATATATTATTATATATTATAATATATATACTATTATATTATATATATATAATTATTGTGTGTGTGTGTGTGTATCCCTCTCTCGGTTACTTACACACACATTCTCTCTTTCGCCTCCCCCCTTGTCTCTCTGTCTACTCATCTCCCTTGTTCCCTGTCTGTCTGTCTCTGTCTCTCTCCGTCTATCTGTCTAGATATCTGTCTCTCTTCCCCTACCCAACCCTCTCTCTCTTTCCCTTTCCCTCTCTCTCTATCTATCTGTCTCAGCCTCTCTGTGACTCTTTGTATCTATTTCTCCCTCTCTCTATCCCCCCTTTTACTCTTGGTCTCTCTATTTATCCATTCTCTCTATGTCTCTGTGACTGTCTTTGTCCTTCCCCCGTCTCTCTCTCTGTTACTCACACACACACATTGACTTTCTCCTACTCCCCCTTCTTTCTCCTTTCCCTTTTTCACTTTTTCCTGTTACTCTATCTCTTTCATTCTCCTTTCCATCTCCACCCTTTTCCTGTCTACTCTTACTCCTTCCCTTTATCCCTTCTTATTCTTTCATCCTTTCCTCTTTTCCCTCCAAGACATCAGTATATAACGCCATGAAAATGAAACTATCCGAAACATTGACTGACAAATCATTGACTAAGAAGAGAAACTATAAATTATCCAAAAGAAAGAACGTCTGGGTAAAGGTCGAACAGGTAATTAAGCTCCTCAACGCGCCAACAATCATCAAAGTGCAGTTCGAAACAGCCCAAATGGCAAAAAATAGCTCTGGAAACCGGAATGCTGTTATTGCATCAGTCCATTCCCTCAAGGTTTATAAAAAAAAAAGATACTTTCATAAATCTAATTTCATGCTATAGGTGCTACAAATATGATCATATAATAAAAGACTGTCATGAGCCGGAAACCTATAGAGCTTGCTCAGTGTGCGCTGCAAAGGATCACACCTACAAAATTGCAATGATAACAAAAAGAAATGTCCAAATTGCAACGGTGATCACCGTATACTAGCCGCCAAATGCCCAACCAGGAAGAGCATAATAAATGAACGGCCTATACAAGAGAGACAGGCACTTAGGGGCTAAACAAGCGCCACCCCTCGTTTACCCAGGGAAGCGATGCAAGGGCAGTAACAACTCGCAGTAGCAACTCACTATCTAGAAAATAGAACAATTACCGCTGTCAATCCCGAGGCAATACTGAAATCCTTACCCCCGAATGCAGCGGCAAGCATTATGAGTGCAATCGTATTTGCATACATTCAGGAAGCCAATGAGCCATGCAGCTTCCAGACAACAGTCTATGAGATGTATGACCTAATAAACATCCCTAGAGTCAGATTCCCATCTCAAAACAATGTCAGAGAAACACGGTGTACTAATGGGCACTAATACAATTATGAGCGCAGAAGCAGTTGACAGGGAAAGAGCCATGGAACGCGAATCAAACAAAAGAGGCAGAGAATCATCGCCAACCCAAGAAACAGCTGCAAAGAAAACGGCGAACGAAGAAACGTCGTAGCGAGGGCAGACTGATGGCAACCAGGATTACGCCCGATCCGTCACCAAGAAACCCGCCCGAAACCAGGGAGACAACCCAAAAGGAAAGCTAGCGCGACGAGAGTGATGCTGCCAGAGATTAGATTACGAGCGAGAGTAGGAAGCATCGGGTTCATTCCCAAGAGACCATCGCATTCAGAGGCCTCACAGTTCATTCAGGCAAAATTAACAAAGTACACTTACTGCCATCCTGACATATACGACGACCAAATTATCAGAGATCAGATCCACAGAAGAACCATGTGTTTATAAGATACAGTGTGCGGAAGAAGCATTCAACGGCAGCACAAACGGGACGAGAGGCGAACGACACACTGCCAGGGTCTTCTACAGACCCTGACATAGTATGAGGCACTTATGAACACAGCATGTACTTAACACAACGTCCTAAATTGGCGCACGAGAAAACACAAACTCGCGAACACATATCTGTTAGAAGACCAAGACATCATATTAATCAATACTCACTGTCTCCAGAACAACGAGATGATAAAGATCTTTGGCTACTACGTCTACCAAAGAAACATACTAAACGAGGGTGATGTAGGATTTACCATATGCATCAAAAGAAAAATCATTTACCATATGCATCAAAAGAAAAATCATTTACCATATGCATCAAAAGAAAAATCAAACACAAAATCAAAGACGACTTTGTAAGGTTATGTGAATGAGGAACCCAAAGGAAGCCACCCGTGAGGTGAAAGGCTTCAGGCTTAGGGGCCAATGAAAATGAGGGCCCCGTTCGTTCCTCGCAAAGGGGGTGATGGGACCAAGCTGAAGGCTAGGAACCAACATCTCACAAGCCTAATTATCCCCGTAGATGCAGGTCTACCAGGAGCGTGACCAATATGAAGATGGTACATAAAATGATACAAAAATAAATCCTAAAATGAATTGTAAAACAACCAATGTGCAGAAGGCACCAAAATAACTGAAATTAAAATGTAAAAAAAATGACGTGCCAGAAGGGCTTATTAAGATATGCCAGAAGCAGTAAAACTTGCCAGAAGGGCTGAAATGATTGCTAAAGAAATATGCCAGAAGGGCTTAAAAACAGTAAAAAGAACTGGCATCTAAGTTCAAATACGTAAAATAACACAAACAAGGAGTAGAGGTAAAAGGGAGCATGGAGAAAAGTAAATGAAAATATCGTAAAAACAGAAAAGTAAAAAGTAAAAGTTCTGGTAAAAGATGAGTAAAAGGGTAAAACGAATAAAAGAAACTAGTAAAAGAAACCAGTAAAAGTAAGTAAAGCAAAGTAAAAAGTAAAAGTAAAGGCACATGGTTCAAAGTAAAAAATGAGTAAAATAAAATAACACGTCCAGCATAAATACACCTAGGCAAGTAAACGGGCCAGTACAACCTTGCTTCAGCATCCACGGTGTAAAGTCCATGTAAAGGTAAATCCAAGGGTCAAGTCACAACACAGTCAGAGTATCCACTTTGTTTCGAAATCGAGAGAGAATGGGGGGGAAGGCTTAAGGGGGTTACATTGCCTCACGCGGACGGAGTGGTAGCGGTAAAAATCATTAAGACAATAGGAAATATGAAAAATAAAATAAAATATACACAAGATAAAAGAATAATTAAAAGCAATAAAACATCAAAGGACATAAATGAGAAAATAAAAATCATAAAAAATACGTAAAACCATCTGCTGCGATTCAGAAATAAAAATATTAAAATAAATGACGCTCTCAAAGTAAAAGAGATTAAAATGATCAGTAAGTAAAATAAATAAATAAATAAAACTGAACAGTATAAAAGGATAAAAAGTACGAGAGAAATCGCAGCAGATAAGGATGACCCCACTATCCGCACATGTGAATTCTTGTGGGATATAAGCGGATAGCAAACGAATTTAATGGAAGTTTTATTTAATAGTAGATACAGGCAGCGGAAATCAACGTAAAATACATGTAAATAAAGCCAGGATAATACAGAAATCAAAATAAAGTGCAGAAATCAGGCTGGCAGAGGGAAGTGGTCGGCTGTGCTCGACTCGCCCTGTGGATTACGGAGGATGCTGGGTAGGATAGGGATAGGATGGGGGCAAGAGTGGATAGGGTCAAAGGTAGAAGGTATGACAAACGGGAGAAAAGGAATGGGGAAGGGAGGAATGAGCGTAGAAGTAGAGGAAAGCGAAAAAGCGAAGGAACAAGAAGAGGGTGCGAATAAGAAGGGTACGAGGGGAAATACGGCAGGATACAGGATAGGATAGGGATAGGATGGAGGTATGATAGGTTAGAGATAAATATAAGAAGTAGAACAAGCAGGGGAAAGGAGCAAAAGAGGGAGAAACTAGCACAGAAGTAGAGGGGAGTATAAAAAGCAAGGGGACAAGGAGAGGGTGCGAATAAGAGGAGAGGGATGTGAGGATAGAGGAAAAAGGGTGGGTGGGAGGATAGGTGATGGGTAAGGTCTGTAGGGGGGGGAGGGTTGAAAACCTCACAACTTTAATGAAGACTTCTTAGCAGTAGAACTGCAGACAAACCGAGGTAAATCGTAATCGGCAAAGCATACATGCCACCCTGACGCCCACAATTTCCATACCCAGACATAATGAAAATAATGCGAAGTACCCCTGCATATATCATCACCTGCTTAAATGCCAGATACCGAATGCTCGTCAGAACAACAACAAACTAAGTACGAATTAGCAAATCTAATGAACCAA